CAAAGTGTAATGGTATTACTATTCTTGTTATACTGCCACATAGTAGTAACAAAATGCAGCCCTTAGTTTTATTTGCTCTCAATTTTCATTATTCAAACTTTATTTATAATGATGCATGTACTGGCTCTTAAAAAATTCAAAATAAATATGTTAACAAAAAATTGCTTAGATATTCTTTAAGAACTTTGTTTGTAGATTAAAAATCAGCTAAATTAAAATTGTATTTGTTCGTCCAAGATTTTAAAACCACTTTTAAACCAACCATTTTTTTTTACAAAAAAACATAGGTAATTATGATGAGTCTAGGTTACACTTAATAATCAATTATTCATATTGCAAATTAGAAAGTGGAATAAGACTATCCTACTATTGCAATCAAAAATCTGCAGAAAATGTTAAAATTTTTTAAAAATAAGCTCTTAATTTAACTTTTTTAAATATGTCAGATTTTAAAACCTAGTATAGGGTATATCAGGTACCTGGTATTAAATATATCTGGTTTTAAAACCTGATATAGGCAAAAAAGTTGAATTTTCAAGTAAAAGCTTGAATAAATTTTAGACAGTTGAATTCCTTCAAATGTCATGGAGAAATTTACTAATTTTATTACAACTAATGTAGTTAAAACTGTTTGCATATCAAAAAAAAAAACATTAGAAAAGTCTTTAAGTAGTTTTTATCACATTACAAAAGATATGTTTGATGTAGAGGTTGACTAAAGAAAAGTAAAACAGTTATTTTTTGGCAGATTCATGAGAAATTTTAAATATATTTATGTTAGCTAGAGAGACTAATGAAAAAGGTATTACTGTTATTTTATGTTGTATATATTTCATTAACTCTCAGAGTTGCTTAAGTCTCATGGATTCAATTTTTTTTTCAAAATGAAGTAGTTGATCCTAGGTTACCTTTATAAAAAAGATGGTTTTGGTTTCTTGAAGAATAGTTTAGATGTCATTTTGAAGCTTATAAAAAAAATTCCTTATTTGAAATCAAGTTCTCTATCAGATTTTATAGCAATATTTTATGTGTAAATAGTTTAAGTTTTAGTGGAATAAACTGACTGAAAATGGTTACCTAATCAATTTTGAAGATGCTGCATCCAAAGTAGAATTAAAATGTTTACCTAATTCAAAATGTTTGATAACTGTTTTATATTTTAAAATGGTTAAAATTCATTTTGCCATCAAACGGGGTAATATTTTATCTAATTTCTGGAATTTCCTGATTCTTATGGATTCAGTTGTAATGATTAAGGTTCCCTTGATATATAAATAAAGTTTTGTGAAGTGAATTGTCATGTAAAAATATAGTTTTGGGACATCTGCTGTTATGAATAAATATAGTTTTGAAACACCAGTTTCAAAACATAAAAATTATTTTAATTTTAGATTAAATAATTATTGAGTCTTATTTGGTAATTCAGTTTCTCAGTAATGGCCAACAGCCAACAGTTCTCCATTGGAATCAAGCTAGAAAGTAAATGTCGTCTTGCAACGTATACATTGTTGCTTGGAATCGAATCTTTTGAAGATATTCCTAAATATGAACAAGAAATATTAATGTGGAAGACTAGGCTATCAATAATCCCTGTCAAATCAACAACTTGTCTTCATCATAAACATGTTTATTTGAAGCGTTATGCAACTAAATTAACGCAGTTCTGCTATCCATTTAATACTCATAACAAAGTTATAAAAGGTATTTATAGTAATCACAACTTTAAGTTTTGCAAAAGTGTTGTGAGTTACAATAATGAAATTTTTGGCAGCCAAACTCTATTTTAGCTATATTTAACCTTACTTTTAGCTGACTTCTGAAAGTGCACTATTTAATGCCATACAACTTTAAACTTTAAATGGTTTTATTAACATTTTTATACATGTTAAAAGAGTTCCATTTTTTTAGCAAGTATTCGGAAATCAACTTGGATACAGCAAAGTACCTATGTACCTATAATGCAGGCATAAATTAGCATCAAGAGAAGAATCAGAAGAGAATGAGTTGGAGATTTATTGCACCAAACAACAATGAAATTCTAAAGGAAATTTAAACCAAAGCTGGCGATCAAGACTTTCTTATTGAATGCATAAAAAAAAACTTAGAGTTTCTTTACAAAATGCAGCAACCTGACATTTTTGACAATTTTGATATTGACCCTAAAATCTTGGTCTATCAGAAAAGCAGGAAAAGAGCTTTTAGTTTCCAAACACAAAAGTGTTTGGAAAAGTAAGTGTTGAGAAAAAAAAAAAACATGTCAAAAAAATTAATTTGTGTAACTTAAAGGAGCTTTATGTGGCATTAAGAATAAAGTACCCATACCATAAAATAGGTTTTTCTAAATTTTGCAGTCTTTTGCCTAAATGGTGCATTCTTGCTAGTCCAAAAGATACGCATTCTGTTTTTGTGCGTACAATAGACCAAAATGTTAAATAATGTTGAGTGCTGTAGGCCTTGAAATCATGAAATCATTGAAAAGATTGTCTGCAGCAGATAATTGAAAGTTTGCATGATTCATAGATGCAGTAGTTATCCTGGCATACAACTGCCCAAAATTATTTTCAGCAGTATCTCACTCAAAATGATGATCCAAAATAGCAAAATGACAGTGATGAAAATGAACAGTCAGCAGATTTCAAACAGTGAACAGTGACAGATCGGACTGAACTATTAACAATAAAACTTCCATTTAATGAATTCATAGAGCTCCTGTGTGAAAAACTAAATAAAATTACACTCATTTGTTTGGGCCGACTGTATAAGCGCGAATTTCATAAGTGTGAACTGGCATACGTGCGAATGGCGTAAGCGCAAACTGGCATAAGCGCGAAGTGTTACAAAAACTGGCACAAGTGCGAACTGGCATAAGTGTGAATTGGCATAAGTGCGAAGTACTAATTTGCACTTATGCCAATATTTGAAATTTTATTTGGCGCACTTATGCCAATTCGCACGTATGCCAGTTCGCACTTATGCCAGTTTTTGCAACGCTTCGCATTTATTCGCCAGTATGCACATATGCCAATTCGCGCTTATACAGCCTCCCAATTTATTTATAGCAAAATCACAATCTAGTATCTAAAGTATCTCAAAGAAACAATTAGTATTGATGAGGCTGTAGTACTGGCAGATTTTGTAGAGAATTACACTTTTGTAGTACAAGATGAGATACAGAGCTACCATTGGAGCAAGAGTAAATGTTCTCTTCATCCAGTTGTCATCATCATAAAAAAGTGAAATTAGAAATATCTTTTTTGTGTGCAACCCAACATCATGATGATTCAGATTTGAATTATCTGAATCATCATGATGTTGGGTTGAATGTTGGAATGAAGTTTTGCATATAACCATTGATAATATAAAATCATCTATGTCCCACAATTACAAAAGCTCATTATTTTTCTGACGGCTGTGCAGAGCAGTATTAAAACTGCAAACATTTTTACAATTTAATGTCATGCTCAAGATTTGTCTGTTCGTTGCATTTGGATTTTCTTTGCAACAAGCCATGGCAAATCTCCATGCGATGGAATAGGTGGCACTGTTAAAAGACTTGTTGCAACTGTTAGCTTGCAGAGTCCAACCACAGGTCAAATACCGTTTTCTCAAGCAAGGTTTGAATACTGTCGAATGTCAATCAGTGGGATTATGTTTGTGTACCTCACTGCTAAAGAAATAGAACTAGTAAGTAAAAAACTTACTGATAGACTTTTAATTGCAACTACTATTCCTGGGACAAAAAGTTTCCATCATTTTATACCTTCTTTTCATTCAATTATAAAAATGAAAAGGGTATCAGATGATGGCGATTTTTCTCTAACATTTGACTTCCTCGATAAACATAAATATAAAACTTACCATTAAAATTTACTATATTTATCTATTTTGCAAATACGACAAATTTTACTTAATTTTAGTTAATAAAAAGAATGATGATTTTATGGTAAAGTTTATGCATCCTCATTATCCAAGTCGGTTGTACTTCTGGCCAAAGTGGGATGATAATTGCTGGGTGCCAAGAGTTAATGTCATTTTTCTTGTTAAAACACTGTCAACATCTTTTGGGCATCAGTACCACATCTCAAAAGAAGATGGAATTCTATTTGAGCAGCTTTTTATTTTTGAGCTTTTTTCAATAAAGCAGATTTTTTATTATTTTTCAAAAAAGTTTGCATTTTAGCATTTTTCAATACAACATTTGAGCATGCAATCTAAAATTTGAGCATATAACCAATATTTTGAAACAATACTTAATTATCAGACATTAAGTAATAATGTTAAGTTAAAATATTATAATTAATAAATAAAGAAATTATATTTTCAATGTGTTGTATTGTAAATTATATTTCCATGTGTACTTTTGAAAATATTGATTATAAATATGCAAGTTATGCAAAGAAATATGATTTTTGTTATCCCCTTTCAGAGACCAAAGCTTTTCTAAGACCTCTTATTTCACAATTAGAGTAGGCAACTCCAGAAATAAGCGAAATGTAAACCATGGTTATGAAACTAAAAGTTTGACTGTTGATATTTTAAAATTAAAAAATTATTTTCAAATATAAAGAATAGGATTGTTTTTTCTTCATCTTTGTATTCAACATCTTTAATAATGGTCAGGTACTAATTTTCAGTCATATTCCTTCTCTAGAACTTAAATTATTCACACAAAAAGTGAATAATTTAACCACTATAAATTCTATAATAGAGAATGGAGGCCAAAAAAATGTTTTTTTTTGTCTGAATTTCAAAATGACATAATGTTATAAATGTTAAAAATAGCTATCAAGTAATTTTAATTCCATTATTTTCTCTACATTTTTGAAATCAACACCATTAAATATAGTCAGGTACCAATTTACACTGACTACAAATTCGCCATTTGTTATAAAAAATCCTGCCTTGGTCAAAATCTAGAACAGGTTGGTCACTCATTATTATTAATAAATTTTTAAATATGTTTATTTGATTTAATCAGTTTGTTTGACTATTTTTTCTAGATATAAATCAGTATTCAATGACAGTGTAAAGAATGAAATAAAATCTATCAAAAAGGAAAAGAAAACATTGGTAACTTGTCTCATTTTATATATATATATTTTTTAATTATTATACCAGTTATTACTTTTAATTAAAATTTCTTTTGACACAAATTGTTTAAAAACAAAAGTGGGTTGTGAACCATGTATGATGTAACTTATGTTGCATGAAATTTGGTAATGGTAGACACATTAAATGTGGTAGTGGTGTAGTGGTAGAGCGCTCACCTCATAAGTGAGAAGTTCCGAGTTCAATTCCCACCACATACCTGGTAGTACCACGCTCAACTTGTTTTTCCACGCGGCAGCCTTGTTCATCAAGGTTCATGTTTCAAAGTTATAGAGTTGAGAGAGGGTTGTAACAAACAAAAATAGCCTCCTCAACTATAGTGACCTTTCTAGGCCTTGGGAGGTGAATAATTATATTTGTGTTTGTATATATTACATCACATATATATATTACATCACATATAACCATAATATGAGCATAGGTAATGGTTTATAATGATATCAAGCAATTAGGGCTATAACTGCAAAAAAAAAAAATGCATTAAAAATGAGACTCAATGCACATGAAATTTAATAATAAGATGCATGAAAATTAATAAAGACAAATGGTGAAACTCCATCATCAGGGCCACAATAACAATAAACATACAGTTATTTATATTTTTAATTTTAGATTAACACTACACATACAGTAATTTAGTTATTTAATATATATAAAATTAAAAGTAATAGTTTACATAGTATATTTATGGAATATACAATTTCTTACTAAACACTCACATCAAACTCAACTTTAAACTAACTTTACTTATTACTTAAATCTTTAAATAGCTAATTTTTATTTTAAATAATAGATTTGATCTTATATAAAGGAAAAGTTTAATGAAAATAGTAAATTTCTCAAAACATTTCTTCTAAAAAATAAAAATAATAATAATAAAAAAAAAATAAGCTTTTACTTATATTGTTACTGTAATTTCAAGAAAAATGTTTCTTTTTATAAACTTGTTTTAATTGTATTTTTATTTTAACTTAATATGAAGTAATTGAAGAACGATTACTGAAACTATTTGATAAACAATTTAAAAACTCAATATGTTGTATGTGTAAAAGATTAAGTTCTTGTTATGGTTGTTATGCAAGGATATTTGGTGTAGCCACTTTGTCCAAGAAAAAAGTTTACAATTTTTAGGTACACACAAATCACCCATTGATGTTCATGACTTTAGCTTTTCCAAGACCAAAGCAATGACAGACCAATTCTTCTTTCATTTTCGTTGAGTGAGTAATTGGTATAGAACCAAATTTGTTCCCACCGTGCTGAAGAACACAATGTAAACTTTGCTTTGAGCTGTCAATAATTAGGCGCCAATCATCTTTAAAATATTCAGGAAGAATCATTTTTTCCAGGAGTCCTCTAATTTTGTGACAAAATACAAGATCCTCTTCTTGATATAAATTGGGTAGCGGATCCTTTTCTCATGTATGGTACCTTGTTCCAGTAAATTTTTGTCCTTCAACCTGGAAGCAAGTAAATCAGAAGCTACTTTAGAGATCTCTGGTGAGGTCATTCAACTCATATTGGTTGAAACGTTGTGGAATTAATGACATCTCATAATCACTGTCATCTTCATTAGTATTAGAAGGGTGATCAGAAGGACAATACTCATCCTCACAGAGCTCTGGTAGCTGGAGAAATGTTATGGTTGACACTTCTTCTGAGTGAAGAACGGGTTGTCTTGCAGAGACTAAATCAGGATAATTTCACTTGTTATAGTTGTTTTGTTAATTCCAGTAATATTTACTAGGCAAAAATAACTGTCATTGAAATGGTTTTGTGGTTCTCTCAGTTGGCACTCCAAATTCCATACTTTTTCTTTTTCCAATAATTCACTCTTGTAAATGTTCTGTATAAGTTTTACAGACCTGATGTGCTTTCATTTTGATCACCAAGCCTAACATCAAAGTATCCAAGATAAGCCTTCTTTACAGTTGTCAACTGTTTTTCTGAGTTATAACTTTACAAAATGGAGTTAGAGCTGTAAATTTCATGTAAAACTGCACCTTAAAAAAACATTTATCAAAAAAACTAGATCTGATAAATAAAAACTGTTTTTACATTTAGATTCAGCGACACAAATATAGCTAAAATCATTTTTAGGCCTGTCTTATTATCCAATACAAATTCAAATTCAAATACAAATATTTATTTGACCTCAACCTTGATCTTGGTTTTGATCAGGATTAAAGCTGGTATTATTATTATTAATTTTATTTTAGGCTTGTGTTATTATCCAATACAAATGCAAATTAAAATACAAATATGTATTTGATCCCAGCCCTGATCTTTGTTTTGATCAGGATTGGAGATGGTATTATTATTATTATTATTTTAAATCACTTATTATAAATATTTTTACAAGGTAAAAGTACAAAAATTGATGATGCAACCCTCGGAATGAAATAATTTTACCCTTTATATCAAATATTTTTGCCAACCTAATGCCGACCTCAATCTTTTTGAGGTCAGCATCAGGTTGGCAAAAATTATTAGATAAAAAGGTCTGACCATAAAACATAGAAACGAGGTTGACAATTTTTTGCCAACCTCAAACACTCACTGTTCTCCAAATTGACCACCAGGTTGAAACTCCCCACTCCCAATTTTTTTGAATTAAATCAATTATATGCAATAGTAAACACAATTTATATTGCCAAAAAAATCTGAACTAAGTGCTAAGTATGTAAATTTCTTCAAAAATTTTAATTAAGTCAGCCATTACGGTATTTACGAAAATCCAATAAAATTAATCAATTATATAATAAAACAACATAATAAATAAATTTAAAACACATCTGATATTTTCACTATTGTTTGATTTAAATTTAAATTCACTACAGCAGACTTCAGCTTTTCGGCGTAATTTTTGTGTCCAATAGTTTTTTTATAATTCACCCAAGTTTTTTTAAATTTGTGATGAACAGCTTCACCGCATTGTTCTGCATAGTTACCTAAGCTGGTATTATTGTGTTCTACTAAAGGGAGAATATGACACACTAAAATATGTATTTTCCATGATACTGTTAAATTGTAGTCAAAAATATCTTTGGTATACAGTTGAAGACTAAAAAATAAACTTTTGAAGTTTAACAGAAATATCTGAACCCAATTCCAATCCAAACACTGCTGATTTTATTAATGAAAATTTACGCAAGCAATTAATTATTGGTAAAATATTAATTGCTGCAGTAATGGTGACATCTCTCTCTAAAACATCTAACAGGGACAAAAATCTATTAGCATTATTTCTGTGGAAGCCTACACCGTGATACCCTCTCATTGGTATCTAATGTTTTTTCAACCAATTTTCGAAAGCTGGCCAAAAACACAAAACAAAGTACAAAGTTTATCTACAACTCCCATCATAATGTGGAGCTCAGGTGGAGGAACAATGTGTTCAAAAAAAATTTTTTTGATTTTATTGTTAGTAAATTAAACAAGTATTTATAACATTTTTGTATTCCTGTATTTTTAATTTTTTTTTTCCATCACATACATATTGATCATAACAAAAGTCTATGGAGCCTAAGTTCTAAGTTTTCCTGTTTCTAATGTCTTTCACAATACAAACAGGCATAATGTCTTTCACAATACAAACTAATGTCCTTCACAATACAAACAGGCATATTTGCCAGAGTGACTTGACAGTCCAAAAATACTGTTTACACACTTTAGATCAAATGCAAGACTAAAGTTCATTTCTTCAAGTTTTAGAGGAGTCAATAATTTTTGGAGATTGCAATTATCCTCTGAAACCAATTCCACAATAGCAAGAATATAGTAATGTTTCACGCCAGAATCTTCATATATTTCCGATGAAGAATAGTGATTTTTTGGATCAAAAGCATTTATGATAACTTTTAAAAAGTTTTGACCGCCATCTATAGAAATTCTTACCATTGCATTAAGATTATCGATGCCTCTTCTTTCAGTTATAAATTGAATAAATTCTGTTGTATTTTTGACATAAACTATATCTTTAAAAACTGTCTGATCTCCGTCAACAAGTAGTAAACAACTGGGGCTGGTATTTGACCTGGATCAAAGCCACATATATGGCTGAGGCTGTTTAAATACTAATGCATATTGATATGATATATAAAAATAAGTTAATTTACATCAATATTTATGCAGTCTCGTCTGTAGAACTGGCCTTGGCCATGGTCAAATACCAACCCCGGTCGTTTACTATCAACAAGTTCCTCTGTTTTGCATTCATATAAAGTATCTAGAGTTTCCTGCAGTTTGTTCATTTTAATACTAATGCTTGATTCTACAACACCAGTTACACTCATCCGTAAAGTAGAACATAATTTTTTTGTTTTGTTTTTAGAAAGTTCTAATACATTTGATAGCTCCATAATGGTTTGGAATGAAATCTGGTTTAATTTATTTCTTTTAGACTTCATTTTATTCACTCCAGCTGTAACTGATAGAAGATTTCCACTCGTAGACAACATGAACTGCTCTCCGTTTGCAATGTTTTTTTGTTCCATTTTACGTTTTAACAATCTAGATGCTATTTGTTCTGCATTTTTTCTCCAAGCAACTCCCTTATATTTATAATATTGCTTACAGCTTTACTTTTGCAGCAATTGTGAAAAACTCCTCTGCCTAAAATTAATAGTGAGAATTTTTTAACTATTTTTAAATAACTGAAAATTGAATTGGAAATAAAACAATAAAACTATTGAATCAAACATTACAGTTTGATTCAATAGATAAAAAAGTAAAGGAAAAATACATTTCAATGAACTTTATTTAAATTATAAAACCATAATATTTATTATTCATACCAAGATTTAAGTAGCAAACTCCACAGATTTTCTCAGTTACATTTGAAACATTTGGCTCTGTTTCAACATTTGTCTGGATACTTAGCAGTGAAGAGTCTAATAGTACTTCTATTAACCTAAATATATAAACACACATTTATATATATATATATATATATATATATATATATATATATATTATATATATATATATATATATATATATATATATATATATAATAAATGCGCCATGCTGAATGCATGGCGCATTTATTGAATTCATTGCAATGAATGGCGTAAAAAAGATAAGTGATTATAAAAACCAAGTAAGTTATGTTAAAATATACACTTTATAACATTATCACTGGGATAATATTACATTTATAATGGGTATAGTGATCCAGGTATGACAATGACGACTGGGTATGATCATATTACTTTTATTTGGATTAAGCAAAAAGTGCTTAATACTCTTTTATTCTCCTGTATACTATGACTATGGTTTAAATAATAAAATCGTTCTTTACTTGGTTTAAATAATATAATCGTTTGCGCTTAAACTTTATATAAAGTCAAGAAGCTGTTTTGGAAAAACAAACATATCGTGCCTAATAACGTTTTGAAAAGGGGATCTAAAGCACTTTAAAAAAAAAATTGAAACAATAAAATTTGTATTATTATCTTTACTTTAACCATAGATGTAGTTTTAAAAAGTTTGATACGAAGCATAAAAAAAACTTTTAGACTTTTTTTCGTGACGGTCGTAACGTATTGTTTTCATAAATATATTTTGCTTATAGACCTAGTTAGAATGCGTTTTTTATAAAAAAATATTATAAATAATGTTTATTTTATCCTTTAATTCAAACTTAGAAGTAATAGTTATTTAAAAAAACAGCACTGAAACCTTTTTCAACATTTCACAACAGGGCTGTATATAAACGTTAAAAAATGTTTATATAACCCTTACAACTTTATAACTATGTTAAGGTATGATAAAAGGATTTTTTTTGATAATTTTTTTCTTAAAGATATTCTTAAATAGTTGAAAAATAAGTTTATTGAGGTTACTATATGTTGGCGTAACATTTTTTTTTTTCCTCTTTTACGTGGAAATCCCCATATATATATACGTGTGTGTATATATATATATATATTTAGGTTTATAAGTAATATTATAAGTATATTATAAGTAATATTTAACTCATACAAAAGCTCATTTAATGCATAATATTTAACTCATACTTTTGATAAACTCTCTAACCAGTTGGATAGATGTTCAGTTTCACCTTTGTTTCGACTAAACAAATTTCTTCTGCAGTTGGAACAAACTACTGAAGGACAAGCATCAAGATCAGAATCAAAGTATTCTTGAATTTTTTGACATATTAAGGGTGTTATGGGTGTCAAGCAAACTGCACAAGTACACATTTTAAATTCTGCCGCCATGTTGGAAATTATTAATTATATCTGGAAAAAGGCCGTAAATAGATTATTTTGAGTACGATAATGGCTGACTTTATTTAAACTTTTGAAGAAAAAAAGCAAAAAATGTTTTAATTTTCATGTTTTAATTTTCAAAATTTACATACTTAGCACCTAGTTCAGATTTTTTTGGTAACATAAATTGTGTTTACTATTGCATATGATTGATTTAATTCAAAAAAGTTGGGAGTGGGGAGAGTTTCAACCTGGTGGTCAATTTGGAGAACAGTGCACTATCAGATTGGCAGTAAGGTCGGCATTGCTGAATGCCGACCCTAAAGAGAGTTGATGATGTAAGTTCTGATTTTTAAGAAACCTGAAATTTTTTAAACTATTAAAATAAAAACAAAAAATTTTGTTTCATTTTTTCATTGTAAATAAAAATTTTGTCAAAAAAGTATATTTATTACAGGGCCCAGTATCAGTGTGTTTAAATACTCCTGAGAATTATTTAAAGAAAAGATCAATGTTGCCTCAATTAATAAAAGGTATTTTTTTTTTTTTTAATTAGTAGTTTGCAAGCCTTATACTTCATATATTACATTTTTTACTAGTTTTTTTAGTCATGTTATGTAAAAACTTTCATAATCTTTACATGCTAGATTCTTTCTTACTCTTTTCTCTCAGAAAATTTAATGGAAGTTCATTAAATTTTCTTTCAGAAAATGATAAAAAAGAAACAAAGAAAAATAATAATTATTTTATTTTATATAATGTTATTAATATATATTTATATAATTTGGTCTATCCTAAAAAAAGCCTCTGCTTACAATACAACAAAAAAAATGTTTACTTTGTTTAAATGAAAAATTAATAATTTTACTTTATTAAAATGCTGAAGAATTACTTAATAAAAAAATATTAGTTTCCCAATGCCGTCATGAAAATAAATTTCTATTAAGCAACGACTAATCTGAAGATTAGATACACACGGTTTTTTTAACATTTTTTTTCATATATGTTTTTTCTGTATAATTTCAATTTTATATAATTTTTTAACGAACAACCTGATGTTGCAACAGTATGAAACTTAAAGTTGTGAAAATCAGGTAATTTTATTTTCTTATATATATATATATATATATATATATATATATATATATATATATATATATATATATATATATATATATATATATATATATATATATATATATATATATATATAAATATATATATATATTCACATGGACCTTGTGAATAAAAATTTAAAAATAAAAAATTGACTGAGGTTTTGGTTGAGGCAGGCATTATATTGAATAATTTAAAAAAAAGGTTTTTAAACTTTTTCTATTATTTAAAATAGTTTAAACAAATTTAGCATTTTATTTGAAAAATTAATATATATTCTGCCAATATATTTATATATATCATAATATATATAAATTAAACAATATAAATTCTGCCAATCGCTACCATTACATAATGAAAGATGGCTTGGCTTTCATAAAGAATCAATAAATTATGTAGGCAGTCATATATGACTTCCGGCTTTGGTTTTAAGATCTATCACCTATACTTAACCTTTCTATTAAATTTTATATTTTATATTCATTTATTCTTTTTAAAGTAATTAATAAATTTAAAAATAAAAAGACATTTACATGAAGCATCATAAATCAGAGTTGTCCAAAAAATCAAAGTGGACCAAAAAATCAAAGTTTAGAATTTCTGTTCTCTACAAAGCTTACTTGCTTCAACAATTTTAGTGAACTTCTGTAAAAATTTGAAGCAAATCGAACAATATGAGAGCTAAGTACAAATTACTTAGTAAAAAATGTTTGCCACAAATTTTTCAATTTGTTTGCTAATTGCACTATGATGCAATTTTTTTTTGTGCTAAAACAACTAATCCTGTTCTCCATGTGATGTTTTCCAGCACCTCTTTTCCCTAAACTGTAATGTATTATTTGAATGGCTCCTGTTTTTGAAAACATTCTGAATTAAATTAAATAAATAGTTTTAAATTGTTTATATGCAAAAGCTATGTTTTAACTATTATGTTTTAAAACTCTACTTTAGAAAATATTAGTGATGTACCAATTAATCAGCATCGGTTTAATTGACCACCTGTACAATCGGTATTGACATATGCCTTTTTTTTTATTAATTTACTGATTTTCCAACCGATGGCATTTTAATATTTTTATCCTGCATTATGATAATAATTAAATAATAAATAAACTAAACTTTATGCATTACTTAACATTTTTTCAAGAAATTGTTTGTATTGACTTTATTTACAACTTGTTCTTAAGATTTAACAGAAAAATGTTTACTTTTATTACCATGTTATTTTTAGAAAAATTTTATTTTGTGTTGTTCTATTGTTATACCTAAAAGTAATCTAAATCTAAGCATCTATATGTATTCAAGTATAGCTTTCTATATTTAGATATATATTTAGATATTTAGATATCTAAATTACTAATAAATTAATAAAGTTACATAGTTCTATGTAAACTACTTATCTTAATACCATTTTCTTTTTAAAGTTGAAATAAAAAACTTCATCTAAAATTGTATTTTTTTTTTGAAAGTTTTCTTTTCATAGTAAAAAAAAGCTAAAAAAGGTATATTTCTTAAATTGAGTTTTTCTAATATCTTTTAAAATAATGGTTTGTCTCTGATTTGGGTCCAAGTATTTGTTTACCAGTTCTTATTCCATGAAAGTGTTTACACAATATAAAGTTATATGGTCTTATATTTTCAAAATTTTAATAATTAGTTAATTTATCGGTATTGGCATCGGTATCAGCCTTTTCCCATCTATCGGCATTGGTATCGGCATCAGTCACAAATGTGCTGTTGGCACATCCCTTGAAAATATGCTTCTAAAAGTATATGTTTCAAAAAAATACATTTCCAAAGTGACAAAATATAAATCTTTTAGATGATAAATGCAACAAAAATGAAGAAAAGAAATCTCCTGTTTCAAAACATGATGAAAATGTTGTGTTGCTTTCTAAAACAAACAAAGATTTTATTAGTAGAAATGCAGTTGAAAATATTTTATCAATTCCAAAAAAACCGGCATGCAAATTTACAGATACAAGGAACGGAACTACTCATACTTTAGAAAAATCTGGATTAGTTCCAATGTATTTAAAAAAAAAGAGTTATGGAAAACTACCAGGTTATTTAACAGATCGAAATAGAGAATTGTCTCTCCTTCAAAATGAGTATGATCTGTTTGTTCAAGAATCTATTAATCATGGTGCGATGAAATGTCTTTCTTCAACAGAAAGGTATTTTTTATCTAAATTTTAATTAATTTTTAAAAGTAATGTATGAAAATATATAATGCTTGAAAATAAAATCTGTTAAATATTATTGATAAATTTTCTAAAATTTTAACTTTATTTTTTTGACATGATTTTTTTATCTTTTATCTTTTTTAGTATTTTTAATATATATATAAATATTAATATTTCTAATGTTTGAAATACTTTTTGATTTTTTGAAATCTGATTTTCAATACGTTTTTGTTTAAAGTTTCTAAAATTTATGTTCTGTATTAATAATGTTGTAATGAATTAATGATATAATGTTGTTTTAGTAATGAATGAATGATATTGTTTTAGTAATGAATTTAGTAATGCATGTTTCTTTGTGATATTTTCTTATTTTGCAATCAATTAATAAATCAAAATTTATTTACAAGCTGTAGGCCCAAAAATATAATAAGAATACATTAAGTAAAATAAAGAGAATAAAATTATTACTTTGTACTAAATATAAACAAAAAAATATAAACAAACAAAAAAAGGAATCATAAGTATAACTCTGTTCCCCATTTATTTATCAATGGGGATTGCAAGAACCTGTTCGAGTTTACAAAAGATTTTATAATGAGGTTTTCACTATTCTAAAGAAGAGTGTGTTGCTTACGAATAACAACATTAGATGAATGGCCACCATGCCTTCTAAGGTGGTTTGTTTGGAATTAGATGAAGTGCATTATTATATGCAAAATGTAGATGATGGAATGAGTCTTTTCGCAAAAGACACCGAAGCTGACAACCATAATTAGGACTGCAAAGGCATTTAACAACATGATCTTCAATTGAACTTGTGTTGACCAGAACTTTCTACGAAAGATGTTGGCTTGAGCATACAAAGAATGTATTTGTTTTAAAGTCAATGTCATCCTGCGTATCATTTGAGATCAATTGTTCCAGGTATTTATATAGATTAGTGTATGAAACAATTATGTTAGCTAATGTAAAACAAGGGTTTTTAATATGAGGTTCATAACTTTTAAATAACATTATTAGAGGATTGTTATTTTGTATTAGATAGTAAGCCAACCCAAAAGATTTGAGCTGTTTGAATAGCATACCAGACAACGAGTAAGCACAATTCACACCAGAGACAATTTTAGACAGTTTCAAAAGCATTGTTTCAAAGTGAACTCTATCAATAGTCTTATTAATATCATTGTTGCATTTTCTTGATGCAATTTTTTCTTCTGCATATGATACAAAAGTATTACCAAAAGTTAAATCTGTAACAAGTGGAAGTCTTTCGGGAAGTTACCAGGAGAAAGCTTTTAACTGGTCAAATAAATGACTTTATATGTCGAATTTACCATGTCTGTGTGGTCCACATATTTCAAAAGTGAAATTTATATTTTATAAAAAGTTCATTGTAATTCAAGATTGATAAATTTAAAATTTATTGTGATACAAAATTCAGAAATAAAAAAACTAATAGTTATGAGGATGTTTTGAAAATTTGATAGTTTTGTAATAAAATTTGCGGCGATTTGGTTAAGATGCAAAAAATATTCACTTAGATTGAAAAAGTAGAAAAAAAAGAAGTCAAGGTCAAAAAGATATAAATCATCAAGAGATCATTAAAAGAATTATATATAATAATATAATATATACTGAACTGTAAAAAAAAAATGCTGTACCACAAAAAATGATGTACAATTATATGTAAAAAATAGTTTTCAAACTTTCGTTTAATGAGTCAAAATTACGTAGTGTTTTGTTTATAACAGCCTTTTAATGTAAGGTTTTGTGAAATAAAAATGATTATTTTTATTATTATTAAAAAAGGACTAGAAGTTTACATAATGATTTAATAAATTTACAGCCTTTTTTTTTTTATGTTTTTTTTTAGTATAAGTGATGATAATATATTAAGAGTATTTTTAGTATAAGTGATGATATAGTAATAGTATTTTAGATATTGTACAATAGTAATTATACATTGACATTAACAATTTAAGTGATGACTCTCAAAGGATAGTTATAAATTAGCCATACTTTAGTATGAATTTTCCAAAAATATTTCTAAGCGCTTTTTTTTACTTTTGATATTTTAGAGATAGCATTATTTCTGGTTTAAAATTGAACTGGGAAGAAATTCATCATCAATATCAAGGTCTTTCAGTTGTTACAGATACTGCTCCTAAAAGAAATCGAAAAGAGCGCATGGAAGCTGTGATGAATCAATTAGAAAAAGATATTGAGTTACTTGAAAGTCACAGTAAAATATATGTATCTAATCCGACGTATTTGTCCTAACGTCTTACAGAATTTGTAAATGTAGATTATTTTAAGTAAAGATAAATTTATAATTAATAGAATTAAAAAGTCCAGTATTAGTAATATATATATTAGTTTTTTTTAAGTGTTTTAGCGACATTTCTTGTAGTACGTAAAGTTAAAATTAGTTGTAAAACATCAAAAACAGCATTGTACTAACTAATTTTTCTTTTTTGTGATATTTCGGTCTAATTATTATAAATTATAAATTAGACCGAAATATCACAACAACAACAAAAATTAGTACGATGCTGTTTTTGATGTTTTACAACTTATAAGTTTTTTTAGATAAAAACTTGTGTGGATCTTTCAAGTTAACAGCGACATGACCCTACTAACTATGCAAATAAAAATCAAAAATATATATTTTTTTATGAACACTTGAAGACCTATGAGTTCATTACAGAGAGTCATTATGCGATTAGGAACTAATTAAACGTTTACTCATTCTCGCTCTTTTTGAAGATAAAACGCATGATACGTATTTAAAACCTACTAAACCACTTAAAGAGATTTTTTTTTAAAATCCCATCCCAACCGCGTTACCGCTGATGTTATTTCTATCCCCGCTCACCACAAGATACAATCAGCCGTTCCTCATCCCCCATATTTATCTTCACATGAAAAATTAGAAATATTTACACAAGTTATGGGGCCATTCATATATTACGTACGCACCGAGTGGGAAGGGTGAGTGTCCCAAGTTGAGTAATTTGCCTACGAGTGCGTATGGGAAAGAGGGGAGGGATCCACTAAATGTATGTATGCAAAGGTGTTAACGGATTGAGGTGGCAGTTCGCGTTCACTTGCCCATTAATGAAAGGTGAACGCCGCTTACGTTCATGGCCTGTTAAGGTTATAAAGGTAGAACAGCGCAAAAAAAAGTGATCAAGTTCGACCCTTTGGAAATACGGGGTGGGGGTTAGACCGCCGAGCATATAAAACTTATAGGGGGAGGGGAAAGGTATGACCACTCGATGTAGTTAAGGACACTTGTAAAAAACACAATTTTGAAAAAAAGGAAAAGTAAAACTTTTATATTGCCAGGTTCCAAATATAATACTTTCAAATATAATATAATATTCAAATATAATATTTTTCAACAAATCTGATTAAATTGGCTCCTCTTTAATTATATTGCGCTGGTAAAGAAAAAAGTGGCGTGTCAAAAAGTTATTTATTATAAAAATATCAAGACTTTTATGATTGTTTTCTGCTATTATATATGAATAATTCGGTTATAAATCAACTTTAAAAAGTTTATTTGAAACATTGTTAAATTACACTTATTGCAATTCGATAATATACTTCTAATTCTGCACTTTAATGAAAAAAGCAACATGTTTCATTATAAGCCAAGCATGCGAAACGTATTCTTAGTAAGAAACTTTTCATAATAATATTTGAGCAGTACCGTGGCAAGTGGGTCAGCCCCCCCCCCCCTAAACTAGCCATTTGGGCCCCAATTGTTTATTTTTTTTTTCTAAAAAGTAGACAAAATTTACAGATTACCCCAAGCAGGGTACCTGACATATTTTAACGTCGCCGTTCATAAGACTAAAAACAATCAAATTAACGCTTAAATTCAATTGAATATACTTTATAATTGTTATATTGATATAGAGTTTACTAGTAAAAAGTTTTTTTAAATACTGTTAATGTATTACGCAGATAATATAAGTACATTGCAAACCAACAAAAAAAGGGTTTGCGAAGTGTTTTCATGCTTGCAAACTCATTTATTATGCTCTTCATAACTTTTTTTTTGCAACTTTGGCTTCAATCAACAGCGTTGCTAAAAAAGTCAAACATTCATCGACCATTTTTGACCTATTTAAAGATACAATGAAATATAGCTACATGTATTTATGTATAATGAAGCAAGATTATTTATACTAACCTATATAAAGTTTTAATTAGTTTTAAGTTGCTAAAGCTACGCTCTGCACTTGCAGCAGTAACTTGTAAATAAGAATATTTCGTAACACAACAACTAGATTGGGATAAGTTTCTTGCAGCTCTTCTTTGAGGCATTTTTTTCCTCGTTGTTAACTATGATAAATCGTTTTAACTCCATCTCTAAATCCTCAAAATCTATATCGCCAAGCTTCATTTAAAAACTTTTGCAATATATAAACAAAGAGTTTTCATTACAGGCTTTGATAAGACTTTCGAATTTTTTTTTTTTTTTTACATGTTTATTTTTCAACTACAAAGTATTTACAACAACAACAAACAACAACAACAATAACAATATATTTTGTGTTACAGATGTTACAAAAACACAGGTCATTGCAAATAGTAATTCACTAATAAAGCGCAATGACCTAAATAAGATAAAAAATAATAATAACAATAATAATAATAATATGTAATAAGTAAAACCACATAAAAAAAATAGGTTATAAAAGGAAGTTAAATAACATAATATTAACTAATAAAAGTAAAATTGCATAAAAATTTATTTAGTTATACCAAAAAAATCAGACTTTTTGAATATATATAACATAATTAATATAATGTACATTTATATATGCACATATACTTTAACAAGAATTATAATAAAATTAGTAAATTATAATAAAAATTATAATTTAAAATAAAATATTAAAAATAAAATTATAATAAAATAATAAACTTTAATAAAAATAAAAAATAAGTCAAAAAGTAGAAAGAAAGAAAAGTAAAAAGTAAAGTTAAGTGTAACCTTTTAGGTAGAAATGATGGAGTGACTTTAGGAACAGACTCTTGAACCAATGGATGAGACCAGATTTTAGGGTGTTCGGAAGGGAGTTCCAAGAAAGGATACACTGGTATGTAATGGAATTAATTCCATGTTTACTTGTCTGTTTTAGTGGAAGAGTTAAGTTGTTATAGGTCACTGATCTTAGGTTATGCCCACATGTTGTTCTGTTATTAAAGTAGTTGTGAAATATAGTAGGAAGGACACCATGTTGTTGATCCCAGACAAATGAACAATTTAAGAACTGAATTAAGTCATAGAAATGAAGAATTTTGAATGTAAGATATAGGATGTCAATAGGAAAATTTCTCGGACAAAAATGAATAATCCGTACCGTTCTATTTTAAAAGTGAAACAACTCTAGAGAGACATACGGTTTTAGATTGTCCCCAAACTTGACATGCGTATCGTAAATGTGAACCAAAAATTGAGTGATATATAGAGAGCAATGTTTCAAAGTTAACGTAATGTCGAATTTTTGCTAACATGCCGTTGGAACGGTTTAACTTCAGAGTAAGGTCGGATATGTGTGTTTTGAATGAAAGTTTTTCATCTAAAACAACACCAAGATAAGTTATGTTACTAGACAAGTACATTTTTTGACCACTTAATCGAAAGTTCAAGTATTTTGGAATATTTTTCTTAGTCTTTTTAGAGAAGTTAGTATTTTGAGTCTTAAATATAATTATTTCTGATTTTTTCGTATTCAATGAGATTTTATTTGCCCTAAGCCATTGAACAAGACTGGCCATATCCTGATTAGTATATAAGTTTTTTGAGAGAGTTTGTTATTAATTGAAGATTAGTATCATCAGAAAAATGATACGTTTTTGAATGTTTGATAGAAAGATTAAGATCATTAATATAGAATTTACAAGTAACCAATCACAGATTGGCGGCAAAGATATACAAACATAAATATCATAAACATAAAGTACGAAATATACGAAGTAAACAAAAATATAGTTGCATACAACTCCGACTCGGAGTCTCCGAGACACGATTAAAATAAACAGTAGTTACAACAATGTAGTAACGTGTACTTAAAAGTAATCCGATAAATATATCTCAATATTATTCCAGTTAAAATAAAATAATACAAAAATTGGTAAAGAAAGTCATTAAGCTTTGAGACAATGCTGATCTGTTCAAAAGGCTCTTTTACTGATGCAATTGACATATCAATTAATGGCAAAAAAATCTTCTTTATACTGATATTCAGGTTGCCGAGTGTGATCAACACACTCGTATGAATAAATCGACATTTTTTTTCGTAAACGTATTATTGGAAAAACCATCTCAATGCCCAATACTTCTGCGATTTCTGATAGCTTAAAACGTGCATCGGAAAATCTATTTTTGTAATACTCATTAAAAAATGCATTTGTTGCCTTTATTTCACTTGCTAATACGTCGAGAGAGATTGCAGAAGACTGAAAAAGCTCACTTGATTTGTTGATTTGAAACAAAACATCATACCAAATAATGATTGATAATAATAGGCCATATTCCGTGATATCATATCAAATATATCATATAATATATCATACCAAATAATGATTGATAATAATAGGCCATGTTCTAATATATTCCGTGAGCGATCGTAGTTTTGTGGGTGTAGCTCCATCTCTCTTTTCTAAGTCATGTTCTTCCAAAATTTTGAGTGCTTCTAAGGTTTCTTTTAGTAAAGTGGTTTAACACAGTTTATTCTACTTTCCCATCTGGTATCTGATTGTGGTTTGACAGAAACAGCCACGCACAATTTTAAAATTTCCTATCGAGTAGGAGACAATTAAAAGAGTGTTTATAACCTTAAAAGAACACCAATAAAAGAAATTGCACTGATAGACGACCAATACGCATTTGTTCTTTGTGCGAAATGCATGGCGTACAATCTAAATAATAGAATAGTATTTTTCTTTTTTTACCTTAGACAGGTTGGGATTCAATCTCCTCCTCAAACCTCGTTCTGTGTGTCATTGCTCAAAAAGTGCTTCTTGGTTTCTTTGTCCTGAATTCTTTGCATAAGCTCATTGAGAACGGTATCGTACTTAGCCAGTAATTCGAACACCCAAAGAAAGTTTCCATTGCTCTTTGAACCAATGGCTGTGTCTGAACCACAGAATTGAAGATTTCTTGCAGAAAGAAATAAGGTAATGTCCAGTATCTTTTCTAACACTGCACTGCATAGACGAGCAACTTTTGTTGTTGTTCGTCTATGGTAGCTTGATTTGCAATGCTTGCATTACCGAAATGAGGGGAAAAAATTAACTAGGAAAAAAAAGTAATAAAGCAAAATATTAAAAAAAATATGAGTTAACC